AACCACAACTCATCATATCATTTAAAAGACTGTGAACTTCCATCAAAATGTAATGACTTTTGCCTTTAAACGTCTTCTGAGTTTTGATAACTGATACCCTAAATATCACATTTCACCCATCCTTCCCTAAATCCCCATTTATCATTGAGCGAAGACGCTCAGCTAGCTCCAAGACTCTTCCTGATACAGTGCTCTGCTTGGAATTACGTCACATTATGGGAAATGTTATGTGATTTCCAATTCACTTTAGGCCTCATTCACCCACCGTTCTTAAAAAGAAACTTCTTCTGAAAACCGACTTACGCAGTTTTCACAAAGATACTGACATTCACCAATGTTTCCTTATACAGGATTTGTTCTTACATAAGAACAGAATCTACACACACTCGAGCACAAAGGTGCAAACAGTTCTGCGGTTTAAGAACACATCATGAATCTGATATAGACTTTTTTCAGGACCTTTCTGAAGAACAAATTTAAGAAAAAACTTAGAAAGATATTGGTGAATAAGGCCCATAGACTTTAATCTGCAAAGGAAGCCTACAATAGGAAGGGGACCATCATGTTTAAAATACAGCGAGGGTTTCTATGGGATAGTATTCTCTAAAATGACAATAACTTGTTCTGACAATCGCAGCAAAAGCTTCTAGAATTTCTTATCGCTCTTGTAAGACCAGCTCCCACTACACAAATCTTTATCTTGCCATTAACCAAGAACTGCCAAAACTGATCTGCTTATCTGCATGCAAGGCAAAAAGGCACATATTTGAATAAAACAAAGAATGAAATGAAAGTAGACTGCATGATAAGGTCTGAATACCAGACTTTCATTTTTAAATCTATACACGGATAGATATATATTTCCACATGGACAGCTTTACATGTCTCTTTGCACTCTGATCTGGAATGGTTGTTCTTGGCACCTTTTACAGTTTAAATCACTGGGGAGTAACATACAGACCCTAAAATGTCTTAATGTATTTATAGCCTGTCAGACAATAGTGAAACATGGGGTTGTTTGCCTGAATGTCAGAGTTGTCATTTAAAAGCTGTAAATGTCATCAATGAACCCAGCAAAGACTCCTGTGTGTTTAGACTTTATCACTGTTCCAGATGGCAGAGAGCATGAACGAATACAAATCCAACCTGACATTCTGCTTTGTAAGACCTTCATATAAGAGATATTATATGTGCTACTATATAATATCAATCATACTTAATTAATATTAAGTAGAGATACACAATCAGGTAGATTTTTGTCCTAATCAGCCAATTTATCATTTTGATTTTAGTCTTAGGCTAAAATAACCAACTTTAAATTTTCCCATAGACAATGATCAACTTTAAATTTGCCCATAGACAAATTGGGCTGTAAAGAAATTGGAATCTGAATTACTCATAAAAAATATGATTGGTGCATCACTAATATTAAGTATTACCGGTTATCTTCATCATTATTATTATTGTTAGAGATGGCATGATAGCTTTTTCTTCTCCAATACCATTACTGAAACCTTCGCTATCAGCTGATATGATTTGATATTTTTTCTTTAAAAACTACTAAGATTTAAAGCTAAACATTTAAAATAATATTTATATATTTATAGACCATTCTCAAACTATTCAAAATTTCCACTACCTAGGGCTGGGCTATAAGATGATATTTATCATTATCGCAATACACTGTTACCTCACAATGTGCTTCTCTGAGTATGTTGTGGATATCGCCAATACTTCTAGAAGACTTACTAATTGGATGTTTGTTTACAAAGAGTGCATAATCAGTCCTGGTTAATTTGATTAAAGTACACTGCTTAATTATAAAAGGGGTATAAATGCTGAATAAAAATCATGCATACTCATAGTTTGTAATAGGATTTGTTAAATGTGGCACCACTGCTTCTTTTTTGTCCACAATCAGATGTCAGAAAAAATTAATAAATATTGTGACATACTGTGTATCATGAAAATGTCTTGTAGTACCATGATATTATGGTTTTTTTGCCATATCGCCCACCTCTACTACAGCCCCACCATTACTGTTATTACATGACATTAACAAGTGGTTACTGATGTTATATGATTTTACTTTTCTTCACTTTACGTTTCACAGCAGCCATGTGTAATTTTTGTGCATGTACAATTTTTAGACTAGTTGTGACAGAATAAGATCATTTTAGTCCTTATTTTTACTCTGATACCAGCAATTGGCCTGATTCTGACACCCAGTAACACATCTCTAATTATTATTAAAATAAAACATACTTAGCATATGCAGCTCAGTTGAAACCTATTTATTTCTATGCTATAGAAGAAAAATGTCTCCAGAAAGAACCGTTCTGGGAGTCATTTATGAAGTGAGCCAAAGGACCTTTTTAAGTTTTACAGAGCCCCATTTCCTGTAATAGAGGCTGCCATATGAAGCCAATAGAGTTTTACTAGATGTCAGATCTACTCTCAATCATTCTGTCAGTCAAATAATACTACAGGTTCTACTGAAAGAAAAGGGAGAAATGTGCCAGTAGTAAAAGAAATGTTCACTGTTCATTCTCTCACAAGGAAGGAAGGAAGAAAGAAAGAAAAAAAGACAGAAAGAAAAAAAACACTGGGTTATACTGGCAACACTTGAGGAATTTAATGTGGCACTGACAATTCACAATGTGTTAAATGCCTTTAAAGTGTTAGGCGGAATTGAATGAACTGATCCTTGAGTTGATATTTGGGTTGATGCAAAGCCAGAGTGAAATTCTGTAATCAGTATTTGCTTAATTTCTCTAATTAGTGGAAGCTGCTATTTTCATCTTCCTCTAGGGTATGCCTGCTTTCCTGAACCCCCAGCACTAGAACACTCTCTCCTCTCCTTCAGTCTTTCTCAGTGTTAAAATGGGGGCGGGGTGTCTTCATGTACTTGACTTGATAAACATCCTGTTTCATTAGAATGTAGTGTTAGTAGCACATACATTTACATACATCTGGCTGTGCACAGCTTCACTATGTAAACATTACTACACAAGTCTCACTTATAAAACCTCCATAAGGCCATTTTGGCTGAAAAAACGATTTATATAAATGTAAATTATATCATTATTATAATTTTTCCATAATAAGCATAATATAATCGTAATAATGCCGTGATCATATAAGGCATGTTTATATTCTTGCTGTCATATCAAACCTTGAAACTAGGGTTGCATGATGATATCAGAATATCAGAATTAAATACAAATTACCACCATTGGGCAGATTGTTAGATCTGACCAATGCATTTTACTCAGTTTACTTAATTTGTGACTCTCTAAAAATAAATCTTACATTTTTCTGTAATGCTAATCCAGGAATATTGTCCCAGTTTCTATGTTTTATCAATGTTTATGTATCAGCATCGGCGGATACGTGCATGAAAAATATTGGCCATCGGCCCAGAATTCCAGTATCGGTGCATCCCTACTAATTTTATAATGAATGGACTAAAAGAAATAGTTCCAAATGATTTAGAATAAAAGATTGTTATATTAACTTGCATTATAAGTAGGGATGCACAATGACAGTAGAATCACATCAGAATCTGCAGATAATAGTTAAAAAAAATTATCAGCATCGGACAGATTATTAGATATGATATTTCAAAACGATTTTTGATATTTATTTACTGACTGATTGATTGATTTGATTGATGGATTGAGTAATTGTACTCCAGGACAGCAAAACATTTAGGCAAAACTTGAAGAACCCAAAGATGCTTTTCTCTGTAAAGTTAATCCAGTTATATCATCCCAACTATGTTTAATAAATGTTAACGTATCAGCATCGGCGGATAGATGCATGAAAATTATTGGATATATGCATTGGCGCAGAATTCCCATCTCGGTGCATCCCTGCTGTAAGTTCATCTTTTTTGATTTTATTTTGTTTTACACAAATTGCTGCCCTTTTCATTATGTGAAAATTTCATGATGAATAGACTAAAAGAAACAGTCCACAATTACTTAGAATAAAATCTTTCTGCATCAACTTACGTTAAAAGAAGAGATGCATGATGATATCAGAATCATTGGATCAGAAGAATAAGCAAGTTATTTCCTTCTCTAGTCAAGTTACCATTTTGGAGGATAGGAAAAAATGTTGATTAAGTGGGCATATGTCTAACTTTGATAAGTACAAGTGCAGGTGTCAGAGCTAAATACCCCCCTTTCCAAATTTAAGTGTCTTGTCTAAAGTGAAACAGAGGGCTGACAAAAATGGCCACGGTCCAGGGACTTAGACAGTGCTACACATCCCTTTAATGAAGTCCCTTGGACACCTGCCTAAGATGTCAAAGCGCCCTCATCAAATGTGAGAGTTCAATTCGACACCTAGGATAGAGCTGTCCTGGAGATTACCACCCTCAAAAAAATGTCCCGTTTTCATAGGCAAGTTGGATTGTTATGAGACTGCATAAATATTTTATGACCGCAGTGTCTGGCTCGAGGTCAGAATCATCCTGATTGTATTCTGCATGTAACGCAACGTCCCTCTATACATGACATCATCTGAAACTTTATATATAATTCACAATTCCTGACATGATTCCAAATGATCTGTAAAATGGCTGTGTATGTGAAAAGAGAGGCACATGAAAGGATTAAGGCATGATTTGATTAAGGCGTTATTTGATTTTGTGACTATTTCCCCTTCGGACCGAATTCACCACATTAATCTGCCCTACCGCTACCCGCTGGCCAATATTTGTTCCATAGTACAGGACGAATAAACAAAGCAAAACTACAATGGCAGCGCAGCAGAATAGACTGTTGTACGTATTTATGTTTCATGCATTTGCTTCACTGATTTGGCAGTGTTTGCAATCCCCTCATATTCCTCTCCTACTCTCTTTCCCCTCTCGCTCTCTCTTTCTCTCTGTCTGTCTCTTATTTCCACAGATATAGTGCATTAATGGATGTTTCTGGGACTTAATAGAATGGATTCTCTTCAAGGCTTTGAGTCCATTCAAAAGCACTCACCGTTCACTTACTCTGTTTGGAGTTCCGGTGAAGTAAGCCAGACGTCACTTTCATCCTCTTTCCCTGTCCTTATCTTTTTTTATCAATCTTCAGGTAATCCATTTTCACTGGCTTAGAAAGTGCTCATGACATCAAATAAAAAATATAAAGATTACAAAATGTCATTTGAGGGGTGATTTATATATCAAACAGTTGTTGTGGTGGACTTGCGTAGAATGGTTTTCTGTGGTTTTTGAGTCGGGTGATGAGGCACAAAAGGTGGAGTCGAAGGGGGAAAGCTATGACTGAGGCTCAGGCCGCCATTTTCCATCAGGACGTGGGCCGGTGCCAAGGAGGAGCATTGATGGACAGGGCTTAGCTTGGTGTCGATCAATTCCGTGTGTAAGTGCATATCCGTGTTGTTCATGTCGTACTGTAGGTCGCAGTCCGGGCAGTAGCCGTGATATTGGACCTTTTCGTTAAACCTCACACGCTCCCGTGTCACCTGGGGACACCGGCTTTTTTCGTGCCTCAAAAGTGGCATCGGTGTCAGTTCTTTCTCCATCACACTTTTAGGCCCACAAGCCGAGTCTCTGCTGGGTATGTTTATGGGCTTGGTGGGGAAGACACCATTCCGCATGAGCGTGCCGTTAGCCTTGGCTAGGTTCCCTGAGGACAGGCTCTTGCTGTGGTCCTCGGCCCTGAGTGGTGTCAGACGTGGAGGTGGAAGAGGAGGATGGGGCCTTTTCAGGACCGTGAGCACGCCAGGGTTAACGGACGGAGGTCGGAGTAAGGTGTCTTCAGGGTAGATCTTGATTTTCTCGATGCTGGAGGCTGTGGTAGTGGTGGTGGTACTGCTGGAGCTGCTGTTCAGTGTGTCTGTTTTCGAGCTGTCGGCCATCTCCTCCTCAAGCTGTAGGTCTGATGTCAGAGAGTCTATCTCATGCACAACCTTTAAAAAAACAGAAAAGACAAAATCTTTGATGTTGAAGGCACAATTCTAGGGAAAAGGCTTTAATTGTTTCAGTGCCTTTTCATTTATGTGGAGGTTCTTCAAACTTTAAAAGAACGGTTCTTTACGCACATAATTTGAAATATGGTCTTTAGGGAGATAAAAGTGGTTCTTCTATGGTATTGCTCCAAAGAACGTTTTGGTACCTTATTCTTAAGAGTGTAGTTGCAAAGCAAGCATAGTTTAGGGGTTTTGCTTGTTACAATCTAATATTACATGACATCAGCCACATTGGGACATTCCACAATGCGCAAGTGTTCTTCACAAACATTGGCTCATAACGAGACATTTGCTATGAATACTTCAGTTTAGAAAGTGATGTCAAGTGTCAAAGCACAGTTTCACTGTCTGAAGAGGCCATTCTATTTGTTACTGTCCAATTACATAAGATCTTTGGCTATAATAATAACACTGGGATTTTAGAAGCTTGCAGGATTTGCACTTCTTTAAGCTCCCTCTCTTTACCCCTCCTTCTACAATGTTCTGTACATTGTCTTCCTACACTCACTGAGAATGAAGTGGGCAAGTGACATTTGCATTGCAAATGTGGCTCTACAGTACGATTAAACATAATCTTTGCCAGCAAAACAATACGAAGGCTGTGCACTGTTGAATACTGTTAGATTATTGTTTTCATCCTGGGTATGGCAGGCTGCACAATCTTTCAGTGCATTATGGGTAAGCCTACATATGTGTAGTTGTAAGTACTGGTTTACTAAAACATTGCTCTCTTTATATACACACAAACACAAACACACATACACAGACAGATAGATAGATAGATAAATAGACAGATAGATAGATAGATAGATAGATAGATAGATAGATAGATAGATAGAAATGTTACATTTTAAACCATAGTGGCAGGAGCACAGCAGGCCCAGTGTGGCAGCTCATTTTCATTCACTCTGGCCTCATAACAAGGTTATGATAACTATATGTAACATAACATATATACCATATGATAACGACACCCCAACTGCCACATGCACACGCCATACATTAAACTACAATAAGGAAAAAAACATTTGACTGAACATAAAATATCAACGTATCCTAAACCCTACGTAACGCCACGGACGAGGGGCTCCAGACAGACAGCTGTCAACATGGAGTGCACTTCCATATCAACGAGTGAGCTCTGTGTGACAGACCTTCCACAGACCTGAATGGAAACGAAGGGGGGCTACGCAGAGTTTCATTACCAAGCAGTCAGTGTAATGACAGTTCACCACAAAGCCATGACATGTTTCACTCAGCATCCCTTCAAGGAGTTAAGAGAAATCTTCAACAAGCAGGGTAACGGTCTGAATTAAGGCCTCGGTTAGCAGACAGGAGTGCAGGATCTCTAAACGTACTGTAAATCTGATAAACCTCATTACAAGCCCAACTGTTCTAGGATGCCCGCCGTTCTAGCACACAGGTAGCTATTAGAGAGAAATCTTAACACTGACTGTTTTTTTTCCTTTTCTCTTCCCTTCAGCACTCAGGTCTGAGCCACCGACCTCTTTGAGTTCTTTGGCCACATCCTTCAAGTCGCCCAAGATGCATTCCAGATCCTCCACGATGGTCTTGATCTGCCGTTTCACCTGAACTTTGGAGACTCCCTCCGACTCCCCATGTGCCGTCCCTGACATGCTTCGAGAAGAGCCCCCCAGAATCGCGGAGGAGCGCGGACGTTATCCTCTCATCGCCCTCGGCGCACTTTCTCCGCGCATTTTAACACCGTGTTTTTCCTCTCCGCTTCCCTCCTTCACACACATTGCAGGAGAAGCTGAGGAGGGGGGAGGAAAGCGTCCCGCCACTCGCGCATGCGCAGACACGGCGATGCATTTTGGAACGAGTCGCGCTCTTGAATTCCGAGAAAATTCACAGAAAAAATATCGATGAACAGCAAATAACAACTCGTTTTTCTTCGACGCGGCTATATTTCGCCTCGTTTTAGGGGTCGAAGTAGTCCAGCGGTGCCCAGTGAAATAAGGCAGGCGGCGCGTTTTAAAGTCCTGTCAGGAACCGTGAATAAGTGGCGGTCGTGAGGAAAATGTATTCACAGATGATTCACTGAAACAAGTCGCATGTCTTTTATTTTCCTCCTGAACGAATCTCATTCGCCTACACTGTGGACTGTGAGTCGGCCAGCAGGCTCCAGTTAAAACAAACGGCACATTTTAAAGTCAGGAATCGTAAATAAATATCGTTCAATGAGGAAAAACATATTCACAGAGAAAACTGTGACACAAACGTTAATTCAGTGTCTCTCTGTGCTAGTGCTAGTTCTGCTGTGCTGCTCACTGTCAGTGGTCTGCCTAGCACTGCGGGTCATGTCCCATGTTTTCCTAGAGGAATAGACGAGAGGAACAGTTGTTAGGCTAAAATAAGAACATTATTTTGCAGGGCAGCAAGCAAATGCTAGAGAGAATTAGGGTGTAAGGTCTAAAAAGGACAGGATCACATGCTATGGCCACTGGACTGTCCTGCCATGCTCTTTCTCTCTCTGTCTCTCTGTCTCTCTCTCTCCACCTCAATCCACCCCCCTATTGAGGCTCGAGAACAATCTTCGCAAATTCTGACAAGATGATTATGCACATGGCGTAGGCCCAATTGAAAAATGTTGGCTGTGTTTGACTCAGATTACATACAGGACTGTGCACATCATTTATTTAATTTCCAGTCAAAACGGCCATTATGTACAAGTTATTCATTTTCCAGCATTAAGAAAACAACAGAAATAACATTTAACAGAAAATTACACAAAGGCATCAACAAAATATATTTTTTTCCAGTATGTAGTGTGTCCAACCTTGACTGTAGTACAGATTCTGTCCTTTTCAGGAGCATTGCTTTCAGTTCTTCAAAGAAATCTGCAGGGATATTTTTTCACACCTCTAAAGTTCAGCCTTAGACATTGGTTGCATTTTCTGCTTTTCACAGTTTAAGTGATCCCAACACATTCAGTGATGTTGAGGTCTGGAGTGGCCAGTTCATTGATCTGAGAGCACCAGCAGCTTCTTTTTTTTTTTAATGTGCAAATTTTCTTTTTTTTCTCAGTAACAGCTTTTTGATAGCTACACATTCTTTCAGATCAATAGTGTTGAGTTGACATCTCACATTGGAAGACCTGAAGCAGTGGAGCTGGATTTCTCCTGTCTCTCAGAGATGTTTATCTGATGGTGACAGTTTTGGTGGTCTACCAGGTCTTGCATGGTTGTTAGGAGTTCCATTCTCTCAATAAATTTTAACTCCAGTTTTGAAACTTGTGTTTTTTTCACTGAATTTCATTCAAATTTCCCCTTCCTTATGCATGTTTAAACTTACTTCTAATCTCAGAGATATCTCCTGAAAAATGAACAACTTGTACTTAATGGCTGTTTTGACTGGAAATTAAATAAGATAAAGGTGGGCTTTTGCACAGTACCGTCTCTCATCTAGAATGTTATAGCATTCAATAATTATCGGTTCAGATGCATATTGTCTGAGAAATGAGGGGGGTGAGTGAGACCTGCTACTGTATGTTAAAGAATGTATTACAAACCTGACTTGAATTGATTAGGCTGTTTGTTCTGTTTTCTTCTCTTAAACTTAGCTGAATGGGATCTTATATAGTACTGCAAATGAGAACCAGAAAATAATACATATCCAGAAAATAAAACTACTATTTATTTAACATTTATAGAATTTAATCTGTTCTTTGAAAACAATTTGAAGCATCCAGCAAATGCAATAGATTGCTGTTGAATGTCAGGACCTGGACACCATGAATAAAGTGCAAATAACAATAAAAAAAAAGCTAAAACTAAACTGCCAGACAACAGGGACACTGCTATTGTATAAGATATTAATAAATATTTTGATGGATTTCTATTTTTCGGATGGTTTAGGCTACTTTAACCACCTCAGTTTGCAGTAGCCTACACTGCTGTACCTCGGACATCCAGCTGATGCTACAGCTGCTGGACGCAAACCGCCATATATACAGTATACAACAGACAGCTTGGACTGAAGCGGCACAGGCTGCTTCTGATTGGCTGCTGAAATGACGTGACGCGGTGACGAGCACTGCAGGCAGTAGGTGAAGAGTCAAGGTAAACTAACGTTAACTGTGCCCGTCCGTCCACCTGCAGTGGTTCACCATGGCTGCGCCTCTGTCTTTCGCTGGAAAAGTGGTTCTTGTCACGGGCGCTGGCGGAGGTGAGTCGAGAGGACGGTGGCTGTTTTACCTTAGAAGTAGCTTTTATTTGGTGGGACTCAGCTGCAAATCTGCGCCTGCTGCTAGTGGCTAACGCTAGCTGGCTAACTTTAACTGTAAACGGCTCGTTAGCAGGGATGCTGAAAGTTAGTTAGGACACAGCTAGCTAGCCTTTCGGTAATGAAAGAATGATAAACGCCACTGCCTAAGAGCATATCCCGAAAAAAAGCGCAAGAAAGCTGCAAGACTGGCAGTTAATGCTGCACAAACTAGACAGAGCGCTAGCAGTTAGCGCCAACGCTTGTGAGCTGTTTATGAAGTTAGCCATTTGACTTAAAGGGACACGCCGGCTAAAATAAAACGAAACGACTAACGCTGTCACTCCGTCTGCTGTAAACATGTCTATTCGCCATTTACAGCGGTGCTGCAGTAGTTTCAAAAAACAAGATTTGCTGGTTTAATGACTAGGAATCATCAGAAACCCACTACAGATGATGTATCTTGAAGGTAGAAGTACGTTTTGAAAGGTGCTTTGAGGTGGATACTGAGGGAGGGGGGCTCTTTTTTACAAGCAGGATGAATTTAAATGCTGTGTCACTAATCCTAGCTAGCAGGCTTGGGCAGAATACTTTGAACAAGTAGTGATGGCTGAATACCGAATACACTGTGCTCCTATAATCCTACTTCTGTCTCCTGAAATAAGCAAAGAATTCGCTGTATCCCAATAACAAAATCTTGCAAATTTAACTTTAAAGTGTGTAGATATGTGTTTTTCAATTAATAGCATGTATGTAAATTGCCATGACTGAGTCCAGTCTTTACACGCCATGCACTGCTTTTAAAGCAGTTAAGAAACAACCATTGATGGTGTATGGTGAAGATGGTATATGTATGTATATTTTTTATTTAGTCAGTAAGTATTCTAAAAGTATTCTTCTAAAAATGTAAGAAAAATACTTTAATATTTACTTTAAAAATATATATATAAAAAAATCAGTACATTAATTAATATTAATGTATTCTTAATACCTTTACAAAATGTAACTTGGACTGAACACTGATACTTAATTTTTACCAATACTTACATTCTGGTACATCCCCCCCTTCTAGCTACCATATGTAATTATTAGCCTTTAGATCAGTAGCTAGCAGTAAGGATTTATTCAGCACCGTAGGGTTTCTCAGTGGTTGTGTTATGCTGGCTATTGTAGTGAAAAGACACTGGTGGACATATGCATGAAAAATCTGTCAATCGAATTAGGTGCAGTTTATTGCAATAAAATGTGACATAACAAAACAAATCACATATTAAATGCTAATATTTGGATCAGAATGTCCCCTTAAGCAAATGAGTTATCGGTCCTATGAGTGAATCTCAGATAATGTGCTATGTGCCAAATAGACAGACATTCAGACTTCATTTAACAGTTTACAGTTTCCATGCAGGTTAACCCCTCAAAGTTGCAACAGAGACAGCTATAAATGATGTGTACAGGGCAAAGGGCAAATTGCAGTAGGTAATAGGTTAGTGGGCTAAGATAAGTAATACTATGCATTTTCATGTGATTATTTTTTAGTGGTACACTCTTAAAAAAGATGGTTCTTCAAAGTTTCCTTAGTAAAGACAGGTTCTTCAAAGTTTCCTTAGTAAAGACAGTGGTTTTACATAGAACCATGAACATGCAAAAAAACATTTGCATGCTCAGAACGTTCTCTGCATTGTGAAATGGTTCTTCGCATTGATGGAGGATGTGTTGTATATTGTGTATATGGTATACAACGTTTGCTGGTATACAACCTTTTTAAAAAGGGTTCTTCTAGTGTTACAAGCTGAACATCATAACAATAGAAGAGCCCTTTTCAAAAAGGTTCTATATAGAACCATGTACAACACATTATCTATCAGTCTGAAGAACCATTTCACGATACAAAGAACCATTTAAGCATGCAAACAGTTCTTTTTGATTGTTCATGGTTCTATATAGGACTATAGAGTTTCTTGAAGAACCCTTCAAGAACCGTCTTTTTAAGGGTGTACCTAAATAGCATTAGAAACAGAAATGCAACTAATATTTGCAGAATCTTAGAATGACATTCTCCCCTCTCTGTGATTATTTGATATGGGCTATAATTATTAATAAAGTCCATTTAAATCAGTGGGTAGCGCTGTCGCCTTTCAGCAAGAAGGGCCTGGGTTCGGATCCCTGGTCGGGTGACCAGGGTCACTTCTTTGTGGAGTTTGCATGTTCTCCCCCTTGTCTGTGTGGGTTTCCTCCAGGTACTCTGGTTTCCTCCCACAGTCCAAAGAAATGCAGTCGGTCCAACTGGACACGCTAAATTGCCCCTTGGTGTGAGTGAGTGAGTGTTATTATTCATGTGAAGGTGCACGTTTTTGTTTAAACAGTCAAGAAGACCCAGTGCCAAATACAAACAATAAGATGCAACGTGACCTTTTCGTTTCAGGCCTTGGGAGGGAATATGCATTGGCTTTTGGTGAGAGAGGAGCCTCTGTCGTTGGTAGGTTGTATTCTAAGTTAGTTCACTCAATTTTATTTCAGCCAGATCCTTTATTCATAGACATTTGTCTGACCATGTGACCTCGGTTTCACACACAGTGAATGACCTAGGGGGAGATATAAAAGGAGGTGGGAAGAGTTCAGCAGCTGCTGATAAAGTGGTAGAGGAGATAAAAGCTAAAGGTGGCAAAGCTGTGGCAAATTATGGTGAGTACGCATAACTCTGCAAGTCATGAGGATTTTCACTGTTGAAGCTGATTGCTAATGATATTTATGGCTCTCTTTTGTTGACCTTTTTTTCCCAAAGGAACTGTTGGTAGATGTTATATCAGTG